TAAATATGAGCATGATAGTATGGAATAATCATATCCAAGGACCAGTGGTGGGTTTCAAAAATCTTTGGAACCTCTTCTGTCGGTGTGGCCTGCGGTCCACTGGTGGAACCTCTTCTAACCGGTTCAGTAGATTTGATGAACCGGTTCTACCGAATAGGTGCGAACTGGTAGGAACCCACCTCTGGTATGCTCGCTGGAGAAAGATGTTTTCTAGGGCAAAAATTTAAGGGGAAAATTAGAGTTTGCATGAGCTGAGAAACTGTCATTCGTTTTTGCACTGTAATGCAATAGTTTAGTAAATGATTGTTGTTTGCCCTCCGTTAACTCAATTATTCAACCAGATGAAATATGTAAATCTATAAAGTTGCCAGATTCAACAGAGAATCTAATCAAAAACAAAAAGTACTTTTCACATGTGAATTTTTGAAATGATGTCATTTTGTTCCTTTGGCCGAAAGGGATCATTGCCTTTCTATTTATAGAGGTTCAAGGTGAAAAATGTTTAAAGATAGCCATTTTTTGTTTGTATGCTTAACTGTCTGCGCAGCATTTAAACACGCAAAGAATCCGCAGTGTTTTCATGATAAAAGCGCTATATTTTCATTATAAGAGTACTTTTTAAACAAAAAATGTCATTCTGTTTTATCTTTCAAGCAATTTTTGACTTTGCATCAAGAGCACGAATGGCGCCTTGCAACTTTAGAAAGTCTTCTGGCAAAACTCTCAGAAAAATCAGAGGTAACAGTAAACATTATTTTTTTGCTGGAATAATTCTAAGAATTTTACCACCCTGCATCCCTGTTACTAGTCCAACAGCATCAAACTGCAATTCCGTCTGTGCTTCAGGCAGGAACGTTTAGCCTTGTCTTCTCCAATAGATTCCCCATCAGCCACTTTCTGCAATGCAGAGAGTTTGTGGATTCTCCCTTCAATCATTCCAAGTACGGTGAAGCAATTTATTCAGGAAACTAACACTGTGTTATTTTCCAGGGTCTCCAGAAAGAATTTGAATTAACCAAAGCGAAAACAATGAGGTACGGCAGCAACCTGTATATTGAATTGGGAACCATTATATATTGCAAAACGTTCTATAAAGTTGATAGTATTTCTTCTTCTTAAAAAAAAAAAAGAATGGAGGATTTTTATTAGTAATAATCAATGGTATGTTGGGATGGATAGGTGGACAGATGGACAAACATACATGTACATAGTACAGATACAAATACAGTGGGTGCTTCAACAGTGGAGGTTTTTAACGAGATTGGACAGCCATTTGTCTAAAATGATGTAGGGTCTCTTGCTTGAACGGGGTTGGACTAGAAGACCTCCAAGGTCCCTTCCAACTCAGTTATTCTGTTAGACAGAAGAGCGAGAGAGAGATGATAGATTGATAGACAGACAGACAGAAAATAGATGATAGAAGAGATAGACAAACTAGATAGACAGACAGACGACATAGACAGACAGATTTCCCAATTTTATAACATATGCAACCTCCATTCATTATTTAAGGTAACGATGCTCCCTTTGTTTTACTCCAGTGTAAAAACACAAACTCTCCTATCTCCAATTTAGCCTGCAGAGTTTGACATCTGTCGCTCTTTTCCCCCCCCCTCCGCTTCTCAGTGACATGGATGAGCACAGCCAGAGCCTTTTGTCCAAGATGAAGCACCTAGAAATTGAACTGGCGCGTCTGAAGACAGAGTTGCTGAGTTTACAGGATGTGAAAAGCTGCTGCAACACGATAGACGCCCTTCACCAAAAGGTGAGTTTTAGGAGGGAACGCCTGAGCGAGCCTGAATTGGCACGCCTCGTTCTGACGCCGTGTTCTGGATAGGTTAACTTTTGAAAACCACTGGCCTGGGAAGGAAGAATTGATGGCTCAACTTGTTTCAACATTACCCACTTTTAATTAACCACTGGAATGTTTGTGTTCCATCGGTTAGCTGGCCCATACCCAAAACAAAGATGCCTTACCTAATTGCGCCTTTCTTTTGAAATCCGTCATTTCAGTTGTCATGTTGTTTGCTTTTCACTTCTAGGTTGATGCCCAGATTAAAGAATCGATCAGGGTTATGTTTTCGGGCGATCTGAAAGGAGATTTTTCGGAATCCTTGCTTCAGTGGCTAACTTCCAGATTTGTGACCAAAACAGACGTACAGGTTTTGTTGCGAGATCTGGAGATGCAAATCCTCAGGAACATCACTCTCCAGAGGTCGATCGCAAATTCCAAAGTGACCACAGAGATAGTGACAAATGCCGTCAACGAAGCTGGGATTGTAGGCATCACGGAAGCGGTAAGCCCCCAACGGAAAGGGATTCTATACTGTTGATTTAGGACAGGGGTGTCAAACTCACGGTGTCGTGTGATGTATTGCAACTTTTTTCCCCCTTCGTTAAACTGGGCGTGGCCAGCACATGACACATCTGGCCCATGGGCCGCAAGATGACAGCCCTGGTTTCACTCCTGCAGGGCAAAAGAGGCATAAAATAACTTAGTAAGTTTAAGTTTAAGCCATAACTTAAACTAAATTTAAGTCGGCCAATGCTAGAAATGAGGGGGTTTATAGGGCAAGGATGGAAAGTGGATTCTTTTGGCAGACCCATTAGAAGACGGAATGGCATTTCGTTTACCAGCTGTGGTATTTACCTTGGCTTAATTTAGAGAAATCTGAGAGCCAGAGTTCGTGATAGGATAAAATGCAACGTGTATTTCAATTTTTAAAAGAACAACGGATGTATCATGTCATTGACGTGTAATGATGTTGCGACAATAAGCTAGAGTTCAATATTGCAATAAGGCAGATACGTCCCTACTCAGAAATAACTCTCATGACATTCTTCAGGTGATGAGAGGAAGCAGCCTGTCAGCTCCTCTCCATTAGTTAATTAGGAAAGAATGACCATGAGACTCCATGCGTAGAAATCAAATGTACTTTTAAAAATT